GGTTTTTCACATAGAGTTTTTCCTTCCCATATAAAATGGAGCGATGGCCTCCCTTACACTTCTCTCACTCCTATAGCCCTTGTTCACAAGGTCACTGTCAAAGGAACAGAACAATCAGCCTCCTCTTGATCTGGGTGGGCATTCTGCGACCCTCTCCACAAATACAACGCCTGTCTTCTTAGCACGCCTTTCTGGATAGCTGAAACCTAGCCGCCTTCTCAAGTGCTGGTCCTCTTGTCAACGTTTATTCACAGGTGCGTTATTTAAAGCTTCCATTAGAGTCTAACCTCCCTGAAGGCAGGAACTCAATCGGAGAATTGTCAATCTACTTGATCCTCCAAATGCCTCGTGTTATGTGACACACATGCTTCCAGCTACCTTAGAGATTGTTGGTTTATACTGACTCACTTTGCATGCGTTGTTGAAATCAGACACCATGTTAGGCTGGATTGTCTAGAGCAGTGGTTCTCAACCTTTCTAATGCCGCGACCCTTTAATACGGTTCATCATGTTGTGGTGACTCCCCAACCAAAAAAATTATTTCTGTTGCTACTTCATAACTGTAATTTTGCTACTGTTATGAATATGGCGACCCCTGTGAAAGGGTTGCTCGACCCCCAAGGGGTCGCGACCCACAGGTTGAGAACTGCTGGTTTAGAGAAACAAATCCAGCGACACTCATCTATGTATATGAGAGAGCTTTATACCAAGAAATAATTACATATCAAGAAGGCATCCCAGCCCAGTTCAGTTCAACTCCTTCAGTCTGATACTAGTTCCTAAGTTCCTCTTAAGACTCATGTGACCACATGCGTGATGAAGAATGATGAACCGGGAAGCAGGGAGATCATGGTCAGTGGGTGCAGAATCATGTGGGTCCAAAGTTGGTGGACACATGGCAGCGCATGAGCAGTTCTCCTAACTGGGTGGCCTACATAGGGCCTCCCTTCCAGGCAGGCAGACTCCCAGCAAGCAGGAAGGTGAAGTGGCAGAGCAAGAGGCCATTCCCAGAGTCCCTCATTCCTCTACAAAAGGCCACACTCCCAAGGAGGTGTCATCAGTTTACCACTTGATGGACAGGTTTGCCTCCGCCCTCCCCAGGAGTGTCTACTTGATATAAAAATCATGCAGCTACTACCAGCCATCACCCCTCCTCCTTGGTAATTCTAGGTGTAACTAGCCATCTTCTTTACCAACCTTGTCTGGTTGCTGTGGGTTCCGGTGACCAGCCTTTTGGTTAGCTCCTATAGTAACTTACTTACGTCCCCTTCCTTAGGTACACTACGACTTTGGTCTGCGTAATATTTTGTCTGTGCTGCGGACGCTGGGAGCAGCAAAAAGAGCCAACCCCACAGACACCGAATCCACCATCGTCATGCGTGTCCTACGTGACATGAATCTCTCTAAACTGGTACGATCTCCAGATGGAAATGTCTCATTCACTAAGCACAAATGAGATGGAGTGATGCTCATTTACAATGCTCAGTTTGAATGCCAATTATCAGACAAAATCATTGAGAACTAACTTAAAACCACACTTTTTACAGAAGTCCTTACTTTTCACAGAGCTTCATTACAACCAAAGCCAAACCCTTCAAGTTGTCTCTGACTCATCTATAGCCCAGAGGACCGAGTAGAACCGCCCCACTGGCTTTCCAAGGCTGGTGGGTTTTAACTGCCAACCTTTCTCTTAGTAGCTGCATGCTTAACCACTGCCCCACCAGGGATTCTCCTTGTTTGACAGCAGAGACTGCTAAACAGTGGTCCAATATCAGGGGACCTATGTATCTATACAAAACATAGCAATTGAACTGAACCCACTGCCCTGGAGATGGGGCGACTGGTGGCTTTGAACTGCTGTCCTTGAACTTAGCAGCCCACTGCTTAAACCACAGCTTTTGGATCTAGGTATAAATCCCCCCAAACCAAACCCACTGTCATAGAGCTGATTTAGGGTCATAGTGACCCTCGATAGGGCTTCTGAGGCTATAAATCTCTATAGGAGCAGACAGCCTCATCTTTGTCCTATACAACGGCTGGTGGGTCTGAAGCCCTGACGTTCCAATTCCAGCATTTACCTGCGAATACCATCAGTGCTCCCTTGGGTCTATCACATGGTTTCCAACCCATAGTGACCCCACAGGACAGGGTAGAACTGTCACGGTGGCTTTCCAAGCCTGCACAATTTTCAACCTCTTTATGGGATTAGAAAACCTCATCTTTCTCCTTAGGAGCGGCCTGTGGTTTCAAACTATTGACTTTATTGTTAGTAGCCCAATTTTTAGTCTGCCATGCCACCAGGCTCCCTGGATCTATGTATAGGATATCCAAAGAAATATTGTTATTTAAAAAATTCTGAACCGGGTTCCAATTTGTGAATTCACTACTACCAGTGGGCCACATGTGGGGCTCTAACCATAAGGCCAGCAGTTTGAAACCATTAACTGCTTCATGGGCGGAAGTTGATGGTTTTTGCTTCTGTAAAGATTTATAGACTCACAAACCCGCAGGGGCAGCTCTATAGAATCCTACAGACTCTCTGCCCTTTAGAGTCGCTACGAGTCGCAATCCACTCAATGGCAGTGAGTTTTTGTTTGGTTAATTATTAAAATATTAGTTTAAACGTAAATTGCGTATTGTACAAGTGGCAGTCCCCAGGAAGGCTGGCTGTGCTATGGAATAATTGACACAGCCGATTCTTTTTCCTTCTTTTCCCTTCCTTTCTTCCTCTTCCTCCCACTCTTTGCGTTCTTTAAAGCGGTTTTCACATTTCTGGGAAAAGTGAAAATATTGCACCCTGTCAGATGGAGGTTGTTGTTGTTAGGGGCCATTGAGTCCGTTCCGACCCACAGCGGCCCTCGGCACAGCAGAACGAAACGTGGCCGGTCCTGCGCCAGCGTCACATGCGCTCCTGCCTCTGAGCCCACTGTTGCACTCCTTGTGTCCGTCCATCTCGCTGAGCCCTTCCACTCTCTTGCTTGTCTCTCTGTCCTTCATGGTGTCCCTCTCCAGGGACTTATCTGTCCTGACAGCATGTCCAACATATGTGAGGTCAAGGTGGGATTCACACCATTGGTGGCGATCAAACAATAAACTGGGTTAGGTGGGCCCATGCCGGTAGTTGCTCTGATTTCCCTGCTGTTTCCCTTTTAGATTGATGAGGATGAACCCTTATTTTTGAGTTTGATTGAAGATCTCTTCCCAAATATTCTTCTGGATAAAGCAGGTTATCCTGAACTAGAAGCAGCCATCGGTAGACAGGTAAGGTGCTTCATAGGTTATCAAACTGTGTGCCTGTTTCCTGTGAAGTTAATGGGAATGCAACCATTGTTTGTGGTCCAAACCGGGGGGGTTCTGAGAACACACCCAGGCTGCAACTACTGTTTAAGAGCATTACAGCCACTGCACACTGCTAGGTCTTCTTCTGCAGGATGTTTCCTACCATGAATAGCCATCTATCCAGAATAGCCAGGTGCCCACCAGCCAGCGGCTGCCAAGTCTACTGGGCCTCATGTTAACCCGTGTGTGTGTGTGTGTGTGTGTGTGTGTGTGTGGTGTTAGACTTGTGTTCCACTGGCTTTTAAATGGTTGAGATTTCCAGAAGTACATCACCTTTCTTCCAAGGCCTCTGTGGGTGGACTGGGGCGGCCAACCCTTAGCAGAGAACTCAACTGTTTGTACCACCTGGAGCTCCAGTTACAGGCCTGTTCTTGATGGAAACTATCCCTCAACAAATTCACAAACAAACCGCTCCTGGTCACCGGAGCCTGGGGGAGGGCCCGGTTTGTGCCCGCCCATACTTGGCTTGGTCTCTCTGTGGCCCTGGCATTTGCCACTCTGCTCTGACTCCGGAGCTTCTGTTTCCAGTGGTGTCGTGTGTCTTCTCAGTTATTGCTCTTTCCTCCCCGGCCCAGGGTCACTGTGCTACCTTCCTTAGGCTCCAGGGCTCTATGGCAAGACGTATACTCGTCATTCTCTGGGCTTTTCATGAGCCTTGATGCAACACCAATGTTTCATCGTGTTTCCGGAAATGGAAGTGAATTGCGTAAACTTTGTGCCTATAAAGAATGAAAGCTTATGAGGAATAAGAGTTTAGAATAAACAATATTTTTTCTATAGAAGTTGTGATTAGCTCACATTTATAACATTCAGATCCAGCTCTTGCAATTATTAGTAATAAATATCTTAAAAGTTCTTGGGTGGCACAAATGGCTTGTGCTCCACTCCTCGCTGAGGGATGGGTGGTTCAAACCCTCCCCTGGTTCTGCGGAAGGAAGGCCTGGCAATCTGCTTTTGTGAAGATTACAGTCAAGCGAATCACGTGGAAAGATATGCTCTCTTAACATATAGTGTTACCACAAACCAGAATTGACTTGATGGCATTTTTTCACATGGTCTCACTCACTGCCACTGAGTTGGTTGCAAACCAAGTGACTGTCCAGGATGGGGTGGAAATGCTCTTGTGGGTTTCCACGACTGTAGCTCTTTACTGGAGTAGGCAGTGGCACAACTGGTGACTTAATGGATTTTAGTCATTATATTTACCATATATTTTTCTTCAGTAAAGAGAGTATGAAACTCTGAATTTCCTGATTGGGTAATGATAGATGATTACTTATCTTCTGGCTAAATTTATTGTAGCATTTCATAAAGAGCTACATGTGAAGTAAATTTAGAAGATATACTAGTAGTTTGCAACATCAGGGAAAACAATCCAAAGAAGCATAAAATGCTTCATCATTTTTATCCACAATGATGCAAATCACACTGAAAGCATCATTTTCAGTGGGTTCAAACATACCATGATGATTAAGGTCATGAACTGTGAAACTGAACTTCCTGGAGTCAAATCTTGATTTTTTTTCACTTTGCAAGTTGAAAGTTTTGGGCAAATTGCTTTCTTTCCACACATTTCAATTTTCTTAGCTGTAAAATGAGAATATTAATGAGATAAATTTCATCGTTTTCTTATAAAGATTACATTAAAATAGTGTTTGGCACCATGTACCTTCTGTACTTGCATCAGTAAACAACTGTCTAGTGGCTTTCTAGGAGTTCTGGTGGTGTAGTGGGCTGTGATTCACAAGGTCGCAGTTTGTAGCCACCAGCTGTTCCTCAGGAGAAAGATAGGGCTTTCGATTCTCATAAAGTCTTACAGTCTTGGAAACTCATAGGGCAGTTTCTATCCTGTCCTATAGGGTCACTGTGAGTCAGCATAGACTCCATGGTGGTGAGTGGCTTTATAAAGCCAGCATGACATTCCTATGGAATTTCAGTCAACCCTGGGAGGGTATAATTTTTTCCATTTATTAAAGATCCTTTCTTAAATGAAATACTTAACATGCATTTTACCCTTTGAATCTCTGTTCTTAAGTTGCTCCTGAGACATCCATTCAACAAAATGTTAATGTGAGTATAATGGCATCCAGTACTACAAATGCAGACGTTTCTCATTGCCCTGGGATCACAATTGAATGGTGTTTAGCTTGTTTTTCTGTCTGCGTTTACTTTGAGAACCCCGATCACGGTGCATTTGACCTCATGTGAGGGTTTTGTTATGCTTTTAGGTTGAAGAAGCTGGCTTAATCAACCATCCTCCTTGGAAACTGAAAGTCATCCAGCTGTTTGAAACACAGAGGGTGAGACACGGCATGATGACGCTGGGGCCCAGTGGGGCAGGGAAGACCACCTGCATTCACACCTTGATGAAAGCCATGACAGGTATGGCCCAACTGTTAGTTGCTGTGAACCATTTGAACACTTCAAAGTAGAGCATCTTTACATATTCGTGTAAGAGAGAATGCTGCTTCACTAGTGTTGAGTGCATTTTAGAGATGGGGTCAAGGGTTATGCAATGGGCTGCTAACCACAAGGCCATAGTTCGAAACCACCAGCTGCTCCGAGGGAGAGAGAGATAGGCTTTCTGCTTTTGTAAAGATTTCCAGATTTGGAAATGCACAGGGTGTTTCTTCTCTTCCCTATCGGGTGCTCAGAATCGGCTCCATGACAGTGGGTTTGGGTTTTGAATAGGGAAATATTTTATGAGTGACTCGATGTATATATTATACCGAGGATAAACTGAATCAGGGTGGTGAAGATGGAGCAGGACCAGCCTGCACTGCATCCTGTTGTGCAGAGGGTCTCATTCTGCTGCTAGGAGTTGAAGCAGACTCAATGGTACCTAACAACCAAACAACCAACCAAACAAAAACATGCTCCACATTTAGGATCTCACTTAATTCTCAATAATTCAAGTGGGAAAAAGTCCCAACGAGCAGGAAAAAATAAAGACTGGTAAGTAGATTCCAATTCATGATGACTCCGTGTATGTATGTTGGAGTAAAACTGCACTCTGTAGGGTTTTTGATGGCTGATTTTTCTGAAGTGAAATGCCTGGCTTTTCTCCCAGGTTGTTTCTGGATGGACTCACATCCCCAACATGCTTTTGATGAGCAGTTGAATATGCTAAGCCTTTGCTCCACCCAGGGATTCCAATAATCTCAAGGGTGGCTGCCTTTATTCCCATTTGGTCCAAGAACCAGGCTCCGGGGTAGTGATGCTGGAGTGCACACACATCATAATGAGACAGCCACTCAAAACCTGCGCACCAGGAACAGGGGCCCAAATAACCTTGTCCACACTCAACTGCAGCTCACTGTCCTCCAGTTGATTCCAACTCAAGGTAGAAGCACCCCTGTGGGTTTCTGACACTAACTTTTTCTGGAAGGAGAAAGCTTCTCCTCTCTTCTGCAGAGCGGCAAGTAGAATCAAAAGGCTGACCTTGTGGCTAGCAACCCAACATGGAGCCCACTGTGCCCCAGGGTGCCTATGGATCATGTTGCTTCCAAGTAAATGCAAAACACAATATTCAAACTCCCCAGTTAGTACATGATAATTCCAATCCCAATCCTCATCAACTATTTTTTTTTTAACCTGGAATCAGATAATTTTTTCCTCTGGTGAATTTAAATAAGTGTTTTCCATTTCTTAAAGGTCTTAGAGCTTTAAAACCCCCAGTCTCCTAAGGAGAGTGATCACTGCCATGTTCCTGATGATTCTTGCTATTCTCTGATTGTGATGGGACATGGAAGACTCTCTTCCTTGGAGTTTCGGCATTCCTTAGCCATGCACAATGCTTTAGTTGTTGGGAGGTGGTTGAGACAGACCATGGGGTCAGTTCCAGATGAGCACAATATTGAATAAAGTGAGTGAAATGGTTTCCCAGTGAACATAAAAATGATGCTGACACTATCCTCTAGGGGAGTATGGGTTTATTCACTAGGCGGCTAACTGAAAGGTTAGTGATTCAACACCTCTGTGAGAAAAGTGGAGCATTCTGCTCCCATGAAGATGTACAGTGTTGGAAACCCCACGAAGTAGTTCTACTCCATCCTGTAGGGTGGCTGTGAGTCAGAATCAATTTCGGGCAGCAGCGTTGGTCTTTGGTAGCCTGTTAATTGTGCAAGAGGATTTTGGAAAGGTTTGAGCTATTGTGAGAATGACCAACATAGGATGCTGAGACTTGAGGTGAGCACATGGCGTTGGAACAAAGGTGCTGATGGACTGGCCTAGTGCCTGGTTGCTATTAACCTTTCATTTGTTGAAAAGGAAATGCAGTATCAACTCAATGCCAACTCAGTGCAATAAAACCAGGTGTGCCTCTACACCTGGCCCCACAGAAACAAGGTTTACAATCAGCTCTGGAATCTGTCTCAAGCTTAGAGGAGTGCAGGTAAGAAGGGCAGGAACTAGCATGCTATAGCTGGGGACGTGGTTTGGCATGGCAGAGATGTGACTTGTATGCGAGGTGGGAGAGGGACAGGTAAGGTTGAATATTGAGCTGTAGCAGATAGAGGCAGCTGTGTTGGATCGGCACCCTTTCAAAGATCAGCAGTGTCTCTCAGTTTAAGACTTACCTGGAGCCAGGGAACTCGCTGAGGCTGGAAGTGGAAGTTGAGTAGGAATGAGACCTGGAGGCAACTTGGGAAGAAGACTAATAGAAACAGATAAACAAGCTGCTGGCGCTTGTTTGTTTACTCCCAAATCCTGTACATGTTGGATCTTGTCCCACTGTCATCAGTGATGGGATGAAGAGAATTCTATACATCCGACCTCTGTCTGGGGATCTTCAGACAGAGAAGGGGCTGTGCGCTTGGCCCGTCCCCTCCCCTCTGCCCACCACCGACAACTCACACTTGCAGGACCATCTCGTAATTTTCATGTGCGTTATTAATATTCTTTCCTGGGATTCTTACACAGCTTTAAAATGATTGTGTTTTCCCTCTCAAGTGATGTTTAATATTTTTGGGTGCAATTATGAAGCTGCCTTTCGATAGCAATAAACTACGGATGCACCTGGTACAATGACTTGAACCGAAACTCATACTAAATATTAAACAAGATAAATACATTATGCATAATATGTCTAAATTATGTAATACACATGGCACCATTGACTTTGGAGAAGTTTCTTGAGAAGATGAATTAATCATTAGAATATTTTCTATTTATTAACCTACTCTTCATTTCAATATTCAGGGAAAACATTTGTTTCCTCAAGTAAGACATTGTTTCTTGCTGAGAACTTTAATTATGCCAACTATTGAGCAGATAATTGAGTCATTGGGTTGAAGAAGTGTAAGGTCCATGTAGTTATATACTTCCCATTCATCATGCACTTATTCATCAAATGTCTTTAATAACATTTAGTAAGATGGGATAACAAGTATAGAAAACATGACCTTGTCTTCAAGGAGCTTACAGTAAAGAGGAGGGACAGACATGGACACCAATAATTATAACTCAATTGATACATGGGAAGTTTGGACAACTATACAGAGGAAACGGAGATGGGAAGTCTTTATAGGGAAGAGAGTAGGCTTTGAAAACCCCATGGAGTGTAGTTCTCCTTTGAGTGGGTGCAGAGTAGAATCAACCCCATGGCAAATGTCCACAATGTCAGTTTACAGAAGATGTTCCACTTCAGCTGAGCCTTGGGGGATGAGTAGTAGCGAGATGACAGGTAAGTTGAGTGGGAATGAGGCCTGGAGGCAACAAGATCCTCAACAAATGGGGAAGGAGACCAACAGAAGTAAATAAGCAAAGAATAAACAAACAAAACACACATACACACAATCCTCTCCATCCTACCCCACCTAACCAAAATCCCAAATCTGTTACCAACAAGTCAAGTCATGGAAAACCCTATATTTCAGAGTGGAACTGTTATAGGCTTTTATTGGCTACACTCTCAGGGAAACAGATTGCCTGACCTTCCTGCTCAACGCTGAGGGGTAATTTGAACTGAGCTGCCTATATATCCATTAGTAGCTGAGAGCAAACCAGGTGCCCTGTCCAGGGAGAAGCCGTCCATGGCTAATGTTCAGCCTCCTTTCTTTCTGAGCAGCACTCCACCTGAGAACAACGAAACCGTGCATTTTTCCCTGTCTCCTCCCTCTGTCCCTTCACTCCATCCTCCCGGGACCCAACTCCACGCCTCACGCTCTGCTTTTGGGAGCAATCCAGAGCGAAGACAATAGGTACAACATGAAGAGCTTCTAGTCTTGCAAGACAACTAGTTTTAAAATGAAAAAATATCTGCTTTGTAGTTGTGTTGAGACCGTATTCAGCAAAGCATTCCAATTCAAAAGCATACAACGTTTCTCCACATACAATTTAGGGACATGGAGTATAGTCTTCCAGTTGTTCTCACCTTTCTTTGTGGACTTGGTCTTAACTCACTGGCCCGTAAGGTTCCCAGCTAGTTTTCTGAGTCTGTTTCCATTTTGGTCCCATATAGCTAGATCTTTGATTTGGGGGCTTTTTTTTTACTCACTATTTTATTGGGAGCTCTTATAGATGTCATAATATTCCACAATTCAAATAGATCCAGCATACTTGTATGATTGCTACTACAACCAGTTCCCAAACATTTTCTTTCTTCTTGAATTCTTTTGATACCAGCTCTCCTTTACCCCCCCCTCCCCCCCCTCGATCCCAGAAACCCTTCTGGGGTTATTGTTCTGTTATTGTTACATGTATATTTTAGCTGTATGTATGGTTAGAGCTAGATGTTGAAAGAGTGCGCTGTGGTTAGGTGCCATAGGGTTGGTTCGTACCCAGGGCGATTTAAAGCACAATAGAAGGAAACACTGCCCAGTCCTGCGCCATCCTCACAATGGTTCCAATGCCTGAGCCCATTCTTGCTGCCACTGCGTCCGTCCATCTCCTTGGGGGGCTTCCTCTTTTTCGCCGCCCTTCTACTTTAGCAAACATGGTGAGAGAACATAATGCTCAAGAAAGACTGTTTTACTAATGAAGTTAAGCTGTTGTCTAACTTTGAGAAGACCTCAAGGGATATTGGTGATTTAAGCTTTAAAGATGTTCTGAAGGAAATAATTTCAAGGGCTCATGAACTCAGAGCCAATTATCCACTAAGCCCTTGAGGTGGGTGTGGCATGACCAACTGTGTGACGGACCCACTGGGGACCTTGCTAAGAATAGACAGAGGGAGAATGAAAGACCGACGTGGAGTCACTACGGAGGCATGGAAAGAAAGGCTGCATGATTTGAGGTGAGCTGATGGCACCTCACATCCGCCATCGTACCTAGTGCTCCTATAAAAAAGTACAGCCAGAATGCTCTTTAGAACCGAGGATGGAGACTTTGTTTCAAGTACTTTGGACATGCCATCAGGAGAGATCAGTCCCTGAAAAAAGGACATCATGCTTGTTGGTAAAGTAGAGGGGCAGTGAAAAAGAGGAAGGCATTTGACAAGATGGATCGACACAGTGGCTGCAACAATGGGCTCAAACCTAATGACAATTGGAGGATGGTGCAGGACCAGGCAGTGTTTCCTTCGGTTGCACACAGGGTCATTATGATTCAGAACCCGCTCAGTGGCACCGAATAACAAGCACCTATAAAAATGGTATGGTATTTTAAATGAAAGTTAAATAATTTTTGAATGTTTCTTTCATGGGCTGCAGACCAAAGCCAGCAGTCACCTATGAACTTGCCATACACTAAGATTTGGGGGCTGTTCGTCAGGTGTGGCTAGACCTAAAAGAAGAGTTGCCAAAGTTGATTGCTGTCATGCATTGAAAATGTGAATTATGACTTTTAAGCTGAACCTCAGCATCTTAAAATATTGCAAATAATTACTCTGATTGCTTTTATGATTTCTGAAATGATAACTATGGTCTAATATTCTAAATGGTATTTATTTAACATAACATCATTTTAAACATGCTTTATATATATGTGCTTGCTTGTGCTTATAATCTTTCATGTAACCTGCCATATTTTAGTATCTACTCCCGTGTTTTGTACTTCCAACCCTATTTTCTCTCTCTCTGCTCCCTAGCTATAGCCCCTTGTGTACAAAAGTCCAGCCAGTTAAGAGCAGCTTTTGAGTTTGAAAGATTCCTGAAGTTGGCCACACAAAGAAGCCATTCTTAATTCATGCAACATTCCTTTAGCTTTTGTTTTCTAGGGTGAGCAAGAAAGAACATACCTTAAGAAATCAAAATTGGAGGGGATGGAAAGAACGGAAAACATGTAGCATCTTCAAGGTCATATTTCAGGCACAAGATTTCATCAAGTATGCCATAAGCCCAACGAATTTTGAGCTGTGGCATTTAAAGACTCCCAGGTTGCATTAGTTCCTTGACACATTCTATAATGATGTCCTTTCTCTCCCCTTTGAAATATGAAGTTTTCCTTTGAAGAAGAAAAGAAAGTAGTGCTTTTGTCCATGAAGTCTAATGAGGCTATTGATGATAACATGAAATGTGGTAGACATCTATGTCCAGTGTAATTTGGCATGTCTCATATTTTGAACGCCTGCTGACAGTACACCGAAGATTAACACAATGTTGTCTAATGATGGTTCCCTCTCCATCTGAGATGTTGACCACTTGGGTTTATTCACTGTAGATTGTGGGAAACCTCACCGGGAAATGAGGATGAATCCCAAAGCGATCACGGCGCCACAGATGTTTGGTCGGCTGGATGTGGCCACGAATGACTGGACAGATGGAATATTTTCTACACTTTGGAGGAAAACACTGAGAGCTAAGAAAGGTAGACGATGGATTACAAGTATTATCTCTGATGTATACTGCTAAGCAAAAGACTTGATGGCTGTAGAGAATGACTAGAACAATAATTGAGTTGATTCTCTGTATACTTTCTTAGCCAAGACTAAGAAATAATCAATTAGCATGATACTTGTGAATGTTGCAATGCTGAAACGAATGTTGCAATGCTGAAACGATCGATTAGTGTTTTTAAAATCTCTACCCTCTCCTTTCTTGGTTACAAAGGCAAATCTTTCTTCCTTTATTTTTTGAAACTCTTTCTGCATACTTATGATCTATTAGTATGAATTGTTGGATAAAGCTCTTAAGGAGAATGGACAGTATTGAGTAGAGTGAGTTTATTGTAACTATTTTTCATGGAATGTTTTTAAAGACACTACTCTTAATTAGTACCCACCCCCAGCCATCAAGTTGATACTGACTCGTAGGGATCCTATGTAAACTTCTGAGACTGTACTATTTCTAGAACTAAGAAACTTCACTTTCTCCCGTGGAGCTGCTCAAGGGTTTGAACTACCCAACCTGTGGTTAGCAGCCCAATGCCTAAGTCAACTATTCCACCAGGGCTCCTTCAACCACAACCCTAAGAAAGCACACACAGAGGCACACACACAAAACTACCATCTCTATAAAATCAAAGAGAAACTGCACTTTTTTGGATATGGGGAAATTGGAATATAACAAATGAAGTATTGAACTGAAAACACTTCTATTTAGATGTAAGCAGGGGTTTGGTGGATCTTGAAAGAAGCTTGCTGAGGGATAGGGCTTCTGTCTGTGAATATTCTTTCAAAATGAACTCTGCAAATTGAGCATAGTATGCCCAGAAGTTCTTATGGAGCTGGTGCTATCAGAGGCCCATCCCCCCCTGCCACACACACACACACACACACACACACACACACACACACACACACACACACACTGCATTGTGTGTACTCCTTGCTGGATGAGTAGTAGAAGGGACAGTAAATGCAATTGCAGGGAAAGAGAGGAACATGGACCACAGGAGAAAAACAAGATATTTGGGCTCATTCCTCTGGGCCAACCCTTTGGGTAACCATGAGTTATTGACAGATGTGGCTGATCACTGTTAATACCAAAGGCCAAAAGAGAAATGGACATACCTCCTTTCTGAAGTTTGCTGTTTTTAATGCTGTATTGTAATGATTTCTTCAACTTGGTTTTGTTCATGTCTTCTAATTTATTTTGTTTTTAATTTGTTCCAGTGACCCTGTTTAAACACAGACCAAGTAACCAAATGCTAGTTCAAAGATTAGGAGCTAATGGGATTTTTTGTTGTTGTTATTGGCTTGTGTTGTTTTTCCTTATTAAAAAAAGCAGTACATATGTGCTTTTTCCTTGAAATGACAACACTCATGATGAGATCATCATTTTACATGATGCATTAATTAGGAGTTTCAAAGCCTTTCATTTGAAATTCAGATATTCCACGACTTACTATGAGGCCCCTTTCTCACGACTCTGTTGTAAACTGGTTCTGCCATAGGTGGAAATCCTCTTAATGTCGCTGTTGTTGAGGGAGGTTCCATTGCTTTCTAGTCTTTAAGCTACAGCAGGCGAACATCTGGGGATTGTCTAAACCAAACCCAAACTCACTGCCATTGAGTCAGTCCTAACTCAGGGACTCTATAAGACAGAGTAGAACTTCCCCAGGGGTTTTCAAGACTGTAACTCTTTATGAGGGTAGAAAGCCTCATCCTTTTCCTTTGAAGTGACTGATGGCTTTGAACTGCTGACTTTGCGGTAAGCAGCCCAATGCATAACCACGATGCCAACATCAGCCAATTCTGTGCTGCAGCATTGTATGTAGTACATGCTACTAATTGGCAAGATGCACAAACAAAAATAAAAACAATAAATATAGTAAGTGTGGTTATAAGGATTCACAATCAATGTTCATGGATGCAGCAGTCAAGAGTTCAAATGATGCATTTAATTGTGTGAATCTTTTGCACAAGACCTTGTTGAAAAGCAAGGAGGTTACTTTGAAGACTAAGGTACACCCGACCCA